CCAGGTTCAGAGCTTTTATGGGTTCATGTCCTCCCAAGAAAAAATCCCAAGTCTTCTGGTAGAGAAAGATAGAAGTTTTTGGTAGAATGAGGATGTTTACCAGTTTTGTGTCCTGATGTTTAACCAAACCCTTATTTTAGCCATGTACCTAACCTCATCTCTGCCTCCTGTAGTATCTTGCATCTTTAGGAGTGAGCCTTTCCAGGGTTGTGTGAAGCAGATAAGCTTTGTGTCTCATCATGTTCCCCTCTGTGGTCACTCTGCATGTAGCTTCCTTCACCTTGCTAAGTCAGTTGTCACTCCGATCTGCTTTCTGTCTTCTGAGACTTTATTGAGTTTGCTCTTCTATTGTTGCCTTTTCTCCCATTATCTTTGTTCTTTCTTTCATTTATTAGTTTAACAAGTACTGTTCCACCCCTGCAAGTACTAGGCACTATTCTAGATGCTTAGGATACAATAATAAAAATACCCCTTCTCTTATGGAACTTAAATTTTAGTTGGGGAGAGGATTTTTTAAAAAAAATAAACATAATAAATAAGTAAATTATATGATATGTTAGAAAGTGATAAGTGCCATGGGAAAAATACAGTGGAGCAAGGAGAATAAGAAGTTCTGGGGCTGGGGAAAGTGTGGGTTATAGTTTTAAATAGGGTCAAGGTAGTCATCATTGAGAAAATGATATTTGAATAAAGCAGTGATTCTCAACTGAGGGCAGTGTTGTCCTCGAGGGAACATTTGGCAATGTCTGGAGACAATTTAGGTTGTCACCACTGGGGCATGGTTGGGTGATGCTATTGGTATCTAGTGCGTAGTGAGGCCAGGGTTGTTGTTAAACATTCTGCAGTGGCTTGGCATGGTGGCACATGCCTCTAGTCCCAGCTCCTAGGGAGGCTGAGACAGGAGGATCTCTTGAGCTCAGGAGTTTGAGGCTGTAGTATGCTATGATTGCACCTGTGAATAGCCACTGCACTCCAGCCTGGGCAACATAGCGAGGACCTGTCTCAGATAAACAAAAACAAAAACAAAAAAACCCACCACCATGCAACATCCTACAATGCATGGGGCAGCTCCCCACAACAAAGAATTATGTGCATCAAAATGTCACTAGTGCTGAGGTTGAGAAACCTTGGAATAAAGACTTAAAGAAAGTGAGAATGTTAGCCATGCAGAGGTCTTAGGGAAGAGCATTCTGGACAAGAAGAACAGCCATTGCAAAGACCCCAAGATGAGAGTGTGGGTGGCATTTTGGAAGAACTGACAGTAGGCCCTGATGAATGAGGGGAAGAGGTGAGAATTAATGAGGGCCAGATCATGTAGTGCTTTGGGGGTCATTGTTAGGACTTTGGCTTTTATTTTGAATGAAATGGGAAGCCATTGGAGGTTTTGATTGAGGGGAGGAATGCCCTGACATGATATGATTTAGGTTTTTAACAAGATCACTCTGGTTGCTGTGTTGAGAATGGATTATGGAGTGGGAGGAGGGTAGAAGCAGGGAGACCAGTTAGGATGCTGTTGCAGTAACCTAAGTGAGAGATGACATAGACCAGTGGTAGCAGTGGAGATGGATATACCTTGCAGATAGAACAACAGGATTTCCTGATGGATTGAATGAAAGGTATTAAGAAAAAGAGAGGAGTAAAAAATGGCTCCAGGTGTTTGAGTAGAGCAAGTGGAAGGATGGAGTTACTATCAATGGAGGTGGGAAAGACTGTGGTAGGGGAGATGTGTAGTTCTATTTTGAACATGTTGCATTTGAGATGCCTGTTGGACATCTGAGTGGTTAAGTAGGTAGTTGGATATATTAGTCTGGGTTCAAGAAAGAGAAATCCAACAGTTGTTAGCATGTAGATGTTATTTAAAATCAGGAGACTGGGCAGAGATCGCCAAGAGAGTGAGTAGATAGAAAAGAGAAAAGGAACAGTGACTGAGCCCTGGGGCATTCCCATTTTAAGAAGTTTGGGGGAAGAGGAAGAACCAGTAAAAGAGACTGAGAAGGAACAGCCAGTAAGGTGTAGGAAACAGGAGAGTGTGGTGTCCTGGGAGCTAAGGAAAGAAAGTGAACCAACGAGGGATGGCTCATCATCTGTGCCCGATGCTGCTGATAGGTCGAGGAAGGGAGGACTGAGAATTGACCATTGGACTTCATAGCAAGGTTGGGGATGACCTTAATGGGAACTGTTTGGGTGGAGTAGTGGGGACCTGATTCAAGTGGGTGAATAGGAGAAGAATGGGAGGCAGTGAATAGGTATAGTTCTTTTTTTTGAGACAGACTCTCATTCTGTTGCCTGGGCTAGAGTGCCATGGCATCAGTCTAGCTCACAGCAACCTCAAACTCCTGGGCTCAAGCCATCCTCCTGCCTCAGCCTCCCGAGTAGCTGGGACTACAGGCAGCACCACCATGCCCAGCTAATTTTTTCTGTATATTTTTAGTTGTCCAATTAACTTCTTTCTATATTTGGTAGAGACGGGGTCTCACTCTTGCTCAGGCCGGTCTCAAACTCCTGAGCTCAAATGATCCACCCGCCTCGGCCTCCCAGAGTGCTAGGATCACAGGCGTGAGCCACCGCACCCGGCCTGTATAGTTCTTGCGAGGAGTTTTGCTCCAAAGAGGAGCAGAGAAATGGAGCAGTAGCTAGTAGGGAATGTGGGGTTGAGAAGGTTCCTTTTTTTTATTTCTTCTTAAAATGAGACATTGAGAACATGCTTGTATATTGATGAGAATGATCCAGTACTGGAGGAGGGAAGTAAGAGGAGAGAGAGAAGGGAGAATTGTTGGGAACGATAAGCTTAAGTAAATAAGTTCATGCTTTTTAAATTTTATTTTATTTTAGTAAGATTTTTAGGAGGAATATTCTGGTATTTTAACTAGAAAGTCCCTTCAACCTTAGGCATTCCCATATAAGCTATTAGGAGTTTCGGTCTCCATTTTACAATGAAGAAACCAAGGTCCTGGAAGCCATATTTCATATTTATTTACCCATTATCTTCCAGGTCAGGCTCACCTGTTTAATTATCATCCTTCCAGGACCTCTATTAAATTTGAATCTTGCTTCCAAGAAGCATTTCTTTCTAACCAGCCCGTAAACAACAGTGGAACCAGCCTTTCTTTAAATCACAAACCTTAAAATTTGGAAATTAGCCGGGTGCAATGGCTCACAGCTGTAATCCCAGCAATTTGGGAGGCTGAAATGGGAGAATCACATGAGCCCAGGAGTTTGATATCATCCTAGCCAATATACTGAGACCCTGTCTCTACAAAAAAAATTTAAAAATTAGCCAGATGTCATGGTACGTGCCTGTAGTTCTAGCTACTCAGGAGAATGTGGCAGGAGGATTGCTTGCCCTCAGGAATTTGAGGTTACGGTGAGCTATGATTGCACCACTGCACTCTAGCCTGGGTGACAGAGTGAGACCCTGTCCCCCGCAAAAAAAAAAAAAAATTTGAAAACTATGTTCAGTATAAATCAAGTATATCTTATGTTGCATTTATATGAAATTACAGTGAAAGTGATCAAATGCAGGCTTAATTGATTTAACCCTGTCAGGTAGCATTGTTTTTTGGTATAACTCCTCCTTCCCTGCATAATTTGGGTTTTTTAAAAAAATATGGTGGACCTAGACTGCATGCATTATGAAAACAAAAGGACCTAGTAAATCAGACAGTGTGTCCTGTTGTGGTAGTAACTGGCTTTTGTTTGAAAAGTCTGGCTTTGAAGATTTTTGAGATCCCCAAAACTAAATCAGGATTGCATTTGACTTTTATTCACCAGGAAGAAATGGAGGATCTGACTAAGGTATAATGTAGTTGGCACCTGGTTATAGGAAGAAATATAGAAATGATAGGCTAACATTAGGAAATCGTAAGTAAGAGTGGAATCATAGCAGCTTAGTAATACATTAAGAATTGCTGCCAGAGGAATTCACAGAAATGGAAGATTATTATATTCTGTACTGTATATAGAATAAACTGAGATTCCATATATGAATACTTTTCGTGTTCATTCATTCATACCTTCTTTTAATAATATTTCTTACATGTAGTATGTGCCAGACTAATGATACAACTCTAAGCCTTCATGGAGCTTACAGTTTGGAATCTTATTCAATGGATAGTATCCTCTGGAAGGTCACAAGGCAGGGACCATTTTTTTATTTTTTATTTTTTATTTTTTATTTTTTATTTTGAGACAGAGTCTCGCTTTGATGCCCAGGCTAGAGTGAGTGCCGTGGCGTCAGCCTAGCTCACAGCAACCTCAAACTCCTGGGCTCAAGCAATCCTACTGCCTCAGCCTCCGGAGTAGCTGGGACTACAGGCATGCACACCATGCCGGCTAATTTTTTCTATATATATTAGTTGGCCAATTAATTTCTTTCTATTTATAGTAGAGACGGGGTCTCACTCTTGCTCAGGCTGGTTTCAAACTCCTGACCTTGAGTGATCCTCCCGCCTTGGCCTCCCCGAGCGCTAGGTTTACAGGTATGAGCCACCTGTGCCTGGCCAGGGACCATGTTTTTTATACCACTGTATTAGTCTGCTAGGGCTGCCATAATGAAATACCACAGACTGGGTAGCTTAAACAACAGATATTTATTTCCTCATTGGAGGCTAGAAGTCTAAGATCAGGGTCTTGGCAGGTTTGGGTTCTTCTGAGGCCTCTCTACTTGGCTTACAGATGGAGTCTTTCTTTCTGTGTCCTCACACTGTGGTCTTTGCTGTTTGTATACCCATCCCTGGTGTCTCTCTGTGTGTCCAAATTTTCTCTTATGACACCAGTCAGGTTAGATTAAGGCCTTCCTTAATGGTCTCTTTTTAACTTAATCACTTCTTGAGAAGGGTTATCTCCAAATATGGTCACATTCTGAGGTACTAGGGGTTAAGGCTTAAATATATGCATTTTGAGAGGTTATAATATAGCCCAAAACAGTCACCTAGCATGAATAATCAGCTGTGGAACTTGTTAGTTGTTTTCCCTGTGTAATAATAATATTTTCTTCCTAGTACTATGAAACATTCCTTCGACAGTCTCCACTGGAACCCTGCCTTCTGTTTCATGAAGGTGGATACTGGCGTGAACTCACAGTCCGCACCAATAGCCAAGGGCACACGATGGCTATCATCACTTTCCATCCCCAGGAGTTAAGTCAGGTGAGCCTCACAGGATGATAGGGGCAACTACTGTAGCAACCCTAACTGTTACTATGCTGCTGTTCATTTTTGGAAGTTTCAGGACATATAGTAGGAACTACATATCCACAGAATATTTATGTCGATTGTAGAGAGGGGTTGGAGATGAGGAGGGGAAGATGGTAAGGATAATATTTAACCATAATTCTGGCATAATCAAACCACAGAGACTATGGCTAGTTACCAAATTAATTGTCATGTGAGGACTCCCAAGTATTTTCACGAGAACTTTGTTCATGGTATTAGGTACTCTATTGAATCCAAAAGCCAATTCAACAGAGACTAGAATGTCAGAAATTCATAACCCAAGTAATACTTTACATTTGTAGCGTACTTAGAGTTTTCAAACATTCACATGTTAAAACATTCCTACACTTACAGGATCACCTCAATCAACTTGTCAAGTAGGCAGGAGAAGGAGAGGTATTGTCACCCTCATTTTACAGATGAGCAAATGGAGGCATAAAAATACCCAAAGTTAAAGACTCAGTAAATAGCAAAGCTAGGATTGGAACCCAGATCCTTTGATTCCTGACCTGATGTTTTTAATTCTATAACTCTAACGTGGTTTATTGCAATACATCCTTGTATCAGGCTAATGCTTAGGCTCTCTGTAGTGATGTAAGAATTTTATAATGTTCCGAACTCAAAAAAAAAAAAAGATTTCACTACCATGTTCATCCTCTTCTGTGTCCCCTCTTTTCTTTCTCCTAGGACTCACGTCTTCTGAGGTGGCATTTGGGTGGGTGGTTGGGATGTCTGAGGTGGAGAAGTATGAAGAGAATTGAAAGGTTATTGTGTCCTCATGATGGGAAAAAGCTTAATTTAGCTCCTTGTTTACAACAATAATAACTCACACTTTCTTTAAAGAATTATTAGAGGCTCAAATTAAAGGAAGTGCCAATTCTGTTGTATAGGATTTGTCAAAAGCAAAGCAGTGCTTCTACTGAGATGTGAAAATAGTGTGGGGTTCTCTTTTTGTCCTATAGAACCTTGCTTTATGTTAAGTGTTGTTTTTAATAGGATTTGAGAAATGTGTCTCCTTGTCTGACTGCTGCAGGGCTGATTACTGTAGAACTTGGAGAAAAAATTTCTCAGAGATGAGTCTTTGCTTGACTGCTGATTTTGTGGTCTGGGCAGGAGGAGCTCTCTGTTCAGAAGGAGACTGTAAAGGAATTTTTCATCCAAGGCCCTGGAGCAGCCTGTGACTTGACCTCACTTTACTTCCAGGAAAGGTAAACCTGGGACAGACAAACAGCAAATTGGAGCCTGATGGCTTGCCAAAGTCTTGGTTTATGGATTGCTGATGCAGGGTTGCTGATTGATAGTGGAGGATCTGGGCTAAGTGTTTCTGGCTCTTGTACAACAGCCAGGTCTGGAAATCCAGGTCAAAAATGTAGATGTGAGAATGTCTGCATGAACTTCCATCCCCCGAGAGAAAACTCCTACAGAGCTCTCAGGGCCATGGCAAGGAGGCTGTGTCTCCTAGCTGAGAGGCCTAGGGCGTCCCCTTCCAACCAACCACTAGCCATGGAATGGTCTGCCATTCTAAAATGCTTTCTTCTCTTATTCTTTTCCAGCACCATGACTCGCTGCAGCCATCAGCAGTCCCCCTACCAGCTCTTATTTGGGGAACCCCACATCTTTGAAGATCTCCTAGGCTTGAAGATCCGCATCTCTCCAGATGCCTTTTTCCAGATTAACACTGCTGGTGCAGAGATGCTGTATCAGACTGTGGGGGAGCTGAGTGGCGTGAACTCTGACACTGTCCTCCTTGACATCTGCTGTGGAACTGGCAAGTAGTAGCCCAGGGCCAAATTTGCAAGCTGGTTAGCTCCCAGGGCCCTTGCAGCTTGCAAGGGTAGGTAGTCGTAGTGATGCAGGCCTAACCTTGTTGGTTTAAAACCCTAAAATACCTTCCTCTTATTCTCCCTTACCTCCCCAGGTGTGATTGGCCTCTCTCTGGCTCAGCATACATCCCAGGTCCTTGGGATTGAATTGGTGGAGCAGGCGGTAGAGGATGCCAGGTGGACTGCAGCCTTCAATGGTACACAGCTCACAGTTGGGGGCGAAATTAAGGGGCGCAGTTGTTTCTGTGCTATGGAAAGCATTGTGTGGGAAGGGGCAACTACGGTATCGCTGACCTGCAGGGAGGAAGAGAGGGGATTCTGGAGTGGTCAGAGTTGGGTCTTGATGGTTTTCTGGAAAAGGTCCCAATATCTGATATATTTTTTTAAATTTCCTATCCAGAAGAAGAGTGAGGGAAGGAACAAGGCTAGGTAATAAGGAAGGGCAGTGGCAAAACTTTAGACAGACTAGAAGAGCCTTCTTGACATTAAACTCATGAGACACCATGGCATAATACAATAGGTTTCAAACCTATATTTTCAGCAACAAAATCTTTTCTTCAAACAAAATCTTACGCCTAACTGCAATATAGAAAACAGATCATCTTGTCCCCTCTACTCCACCTCCAGACAGCTCCTGAGGCAATGTGTGAAAATGCCTGATATAACAGGAAAAGCACTTGAGTAAAAGTCAAGGTTCTTATCTTGGTGTAGGTATTTATGTGCCATGTGAGTTGTTATTAATAATTTATAAAATAACACTATCTAGTCACTCAATCTGAAAGGCTTACTGAGATATTTCAAGGGAAAGTACTTTGGGAAAAAATGAAGTACATCCAGAAGCATTTCTTTTGTTGTTATTTGGAGGTATGCCAGATCCAAAGGGAACATAGCAGAGCCCTGGCTCCTGTACATTTCTCTAAGCTAAAGCTCCCCTCTCCAACTGCTGGCCTTGAGTTATGTCACATGAGCATCTCTTCCACAGGGATCACAAACTGTGAATTTCACACTGGTCGAGCGGAGAACATTTTGCCACAGCTGCTAAAGTCAAAGGAAGATGAGCAGTTAATTGCTGTGGTAAACCCAGCCCGCGCCGGACTGCGTAAGCATTGGCCAAGTTAATTGGGTGTTTCTCATGAAGGCCACCAGCTTTGGTTCCTTATTCCCACACCATGCTAAGGGAGCTCCCAATGAGCTGGTCCTGAACTTGCTTCTTCTCTATTCCTAATCAGTCCTACATGTTGGTCAGTGGGAGTTTGTGATAGCTGGGACCATGGTGGTTTAATTATATTAATAGCAAGGTATTTCTTCCTTCAGATTACAAAGTGGTTCAAGCCATTCGAAACTGCAGGGCTATCCGCACACTAGTTTTTGTTTCCTGCAAGCCCCATGGTGAAACCACAAGGAACATCATTGAGTGAGTCTTGATTTCTTTTTTAAATTATTTTTTCCCATTATCAAAGTAACCCATGCATACACACAATTTGGAAAATGCAGGGAAGTGTAAAGAAACAGAAAAGAAAACATTATACTACCTTTAATAGTCAATTACAGGGCTAGGTCTAGGGTGAGGCAAGTCAGGTACTCAGTTTGGGTATGAAATTTAAGAGGGTGCCAAAAATTGCAGCAATCAAGATAAATTTTTGGCCGGGTGCGGTGGCTCACGCCTGTAATCCTAGCACTCTGGGAGGCCGAGGCAGGAGGATCGCTCCAGGTCAGGAGTTCGAGACTAGCCTGAGCAAGAGCCAGACCCCATCTCTACTAAAAAAATAGAAAGAAATTAGCTGGACAACTAAAAATATATAGAAAAAATTAGCTAGGTATGGTGGTACATGCCTATAGTCCCAGCTACTTGAAAGGCTGAGGCAGAAGGATTGCTTGAGCCCAGGAGTTTGAGGTTGCTATGAGCTAGGCTGATGCCACAGCACTCTAGCCTGTGCAACAGAGTGAGACTCTGTCTCAAAAAAAAAAAAAGATAATTTTTTAATGCGATATTTAAAAAAATCAAAATTGACCCCACAATTCATGATGAACAAAATATTAAATTTTTTTAAAAGGTAGGAGCTGCACCTGTGCTTGTTGAACCTTGCCTCACTGCCTTACTCTGAGTTTGGCTTTGGTTCCAGTAAATCTTTATTTATAAAAGGAGGTGGCTAGCTTGCAGGCTGCAGTTTCCTAATTTGATATTCTAAAATATTGTATCAAAATATTAGTTGTCTTAATTGCAGAGTTTTTTTGGCACCCTATTAAATTTTGCACCCAATGTGAGTGCCTCTCATTTCATTCTAGTTCTGGTCCTGGTCAGCTATTTTGATTTTTGAAATGTTTTCTTTTTGTAATCTTTCTCTTTTTAACCTAAGTAATTTCTATCTAACATTGAAACTACATAGGCAGGTATAAAGTACAGATGATATACCTGAACATAACAGGTGAGAATTAAAAGTAAATATATGTGATTAGTATTTGTCAATATATTATAAAAAGTAAGTGAATTGAGCTTTCAAGTCAATGAGCTAGAAAAAGAACAATAAACCTAAAGGAAACTGAAGGAAGAAATCAATAATGGTAAAAAAAAATTCCATAAATTGGCCAGGTGTGGTGGCTCATGCCTGTAATCCTAGTGCTTTGGGAGGCCGAGATGGGAAGACTCCTGGAGACCAGGAATTTGAGACCAGCCAGGACAACATAGTGAGACTCCATCTCTAAAAAAATAAAAAATAAAAAAATAAATTAATTAATTGGGCATGGTAGTGTGCACCTGTAGTCCTAGCTAGTCAGGAGGCTGAGGTGGTGGGAAGATTGCTTGAGCCCAGGAGTTCAAGTCTACAGTGAGTTTTGATCATGCCACCACATTCCAGCCTGGGCCACAGAGTGAGACTCTGTTTCAAAAAAAGTTTTTAATGTAAAAAAGGGAAATTATAAATGCACCCTAGGAAATCAAAGAATTTCTTTATAATCTTGGAGTACAAGCCCTAACAGTGAAAATTCAGAAGTCATATAATAAAAAGTTGTTAAATTTAACTACATAAAAATAACTTCTCCCATCATTACACCATACACAAAATGAATTCAAAATGTATCAGAACTAAATGTAAGAGATGAAGCTGTAAAACTCTTAGAACAGAACATAGGAGATTTAGAGTCTTCATGACCTTAGGCAAAGCCTTCTCAGATATGATATCAAAAGCTTAAGGACCAAAAAAACAAAAAAATGATCAAAATGAAAAAAAAAAACTTATGTACTGCAAGTGATGTCATTGATAAAATGAAAAGACAAACTACAGAATAGGAGAAAATATTTGCAAATCATTTATAAGGCACTGGTATCCAGAAGTCAGGCACAAAAGGTCCCATATTATATGATTCCATTTATAGGAAATGTCTAGAGTAGGCGAATCCATAGAAATAGAAAGTAGATTTGTGGTTGGCTAGGAGTGGTGGTGGGGGTTTGGGGGAAAATGTGGCATGATTACTAAGAAGTGTGTGGTATCTTGAGCTTATGAAAAATGTTCCAAAATTGATTGTGGTGTTAGATTTACAACTCTGTGAATATACTAAAAACCAATGAACTGTATAAATGGGTGAGCTGTATGGTATGTGAGTTATATTTCAAAACTATTTAAAAAAAGCAGTAATTTGTGCATGATGAAAAGCACCATAAGTAAAGACAAGAGACAACATAATTGGAAAAAAATTGCAGTTCATGTCACAAAGACTTGTTTCCTTTATCTATAACAAACTCCTGGAAATCGATAAGAAAAAGTACAACAGCCCCATAGAAAAGCAGATGATATGAAAGGAATGAACAGATGATATGAAAGGGAAATGTTAGAAATGTGTTTATGAACCATGAGAGGATGTTGTCTCTCCCATAATAATGGAAATACAAATTAAAAGTACCCTCAGATACTACTTTTTATATCTCAGCTTGGCAAAAGTTCAAAAGTTTGATAATGCATTATTGATGATAATATAGGGAAATGTGAATTCTAAAAAATTACTGGTGTAAATTGAATACTAACCCTATGTAAATTGGTATTCTCCCTATGGAGGGAAATTTAGCAATATAGATTAAAATTACAAATATATACCCTTTTACTCAGTAATTCCATTCCTGAGGCTTTATCCTACAGATATACTCACACATGTAAAATGACATATATACACAAATTTATTTTTTTATTTTATTTATTTTTTTTTTGAGACAGAGTCTCACTTTGTTGCCCAGGTAGAGTGAGTGCCATGGCGTCAGCTGGCTCACGGCAACCTCAACACTCCTGGGCTCAAGCAATCCTCCTGTCAGGCTCCCGAGTAGCTGGACTACTACAGGCATGCGCCACCATGCCCGGCTAATTTTTTGTATATATATTTTTAGTTGGTCAATTATTTATTTCTATTTGTAGAGACGGGTCTCGCTCAGGCTGTTCGATACTCTGGACTGACTTGAGCATCCGCCGCCTCGGCCCAAAGTGCTAGGATTACAGGCGTGAGCCACCACGCCCAGCCCACAAATTTATTTATTGCAGTATTTTAACAGCAAAAGGTAAAATACCCTAAAAGTCCATCAATAGGGAACTGTTTAAATCAGCTATGCTACATCCATAATGAAACACTGTGCTGCTATAAAAGAATGAAGATGTTCTCTATGATAATGAAAGAGCTCTAAGGCATGCTATTTTTTAAACAGCTTTATTGAGATATAATTTATTTATTATACAATTCACCTCCCCCCTTTTTTTTTAATAGAGATGAGATCTTGCTATGTTGCCCAGGTTAGCCTCAAACTCCTGAGCTCAAGCAATCCTCCCACCTCAGCCTCCTGAGTAGCTGGGACTATAAGTGTGTACCCCTGTGCTCACCTTAGTGTTTTGATTTGCATTTCCCCAGTGGCTAATGATGTTGAGCCTTTTTTCATGTACTGTTGGCCATTATTTTTATTATTTATTTATTTATTTTGAGACATAGTCTCGCTTTTGCCAGGCTAGAGTGAGTGCCATGGCGTCAGCTAGCTCACAGCACTTCAAACTCCTGGGCTCAAGCAATCTGCTGCCTCAGCTCCGTAGCTGACTACAGGCATGCGCCACCATGCCCGGCTAATTTCTATATGTATTAGTTGGCCATTAATTTCTTTCTATTTATAGTAGAGAGGGTCTCGCTCTTGCTCAGGCTGGTTTCCAACTCCTGACCTTGAGCAATCCACCCGCCTCAGCCTCCCAGAGTGCTAGGCTTACAGGCGTGAGCCACCGCGCCGCCTTGTGCCATTTTAACATTTCTTAGAGAAATGTTGTTCAGTCGTTTGCAATTTTTTTTTTTTTTTAGAGAGTCTCATTCTGTTGCCCGGACTAGAGTGCTGTGGCGTCAGCCTAGTCACAGAACCTAAATCCTGGGCTCAAGCAATTCTTCTGCCTCAGCCTCCCAAGTAGCTGGGACTACAGGCATGCACTGTTATATTCGAGATTCACAAGGCTGCAGGACAGAGAGACAGAGTACCAGAGGCTGTAATTTCAAAGGAGTTTATCTGTAGCTCGAGCTAGGGTCTGAGCCCCAGATGCCAGCACAGTGCTCTTCTCCAGGCAGGACCTTCTTCTTTTGTTAGTCCTTTTTATACTCAGTTGTTTAACACTGGTCATGCATCTGCCCACAGTGATTCTTACTTCAGTCTGCCCCTGATAGCCTAACCTGTCCGTCCTAGGCTGAGACTCAGTTTCCGCTTCTTTGTCTTTTCTTGCATCCCATACATATACTCTAATGCTTGCGGTTAGCAAACAAGCAGTAAACAGAAGCTGGAAAGTGTCTATGTTTTTATAGCCCAGTATACTCGTGCCACCATGCCCGACGTATTTTTTAGTTTTTAGTTGGCCAATATTCTTTCTATTTAGTAAAGACTGGATCTTGTTCTTGCTCAGGCTGGTTTGAACTCCTGATCTTGGAGTGTCCTCCGTACTTGGCCTCCCAGGGTGTGGATATAGGCATGAGCCACCGGCCTGGCCATTTTGAATTTTAATTGGGTTTTCTTTTTTATTTTGGTTTTAGAGTTTTTTCTGTCTGTCTTCTTCTGTCTGTTCTGTCTATCTATTATCCGTATCTATCTATCTATCTATCTGTCATTTTATTTAGATGACGGATCTTGCTTTGTTGCCCAGGCTAGAGTGAGTGCGTCAGCGCTGGCTCACCAGAACCTCAAACTCTGGGTCAAGTGATCCGTTCTGCCTCGCCTTCCCGAGTGGCTGGACGTATAGGCCTGCCACCATACCCGGGGCTATTCTAATTATATTATTGCCAATTATTTTCTTTCTATTTATAGTAGGACGGTGTCTCGTCCTTCAGGTGGTTTCAAATCCGTCCTTGGCACTCCTCCCGCCTCGGCCTCCCAGAGTGCTAAGATTACAGGCGTGAGCCACTGCGCCCGGCCAAGAG